TGCAATTCTCTTTAATCATGTTGGACTATCATTATGAACTAATCAGGGGAATACTTCTCAAGTCCAAGTATTATGGCACAAATCTACACGTTGGACTCATTTCCTTACTCCGAAGAATCTAGGGTGTTCAGGTTATACCTCAATTTCCAAAATTTACCAAATTCCCTAGTTTTAACTCCTCTTCCCTCAAACTCTATATACTTTCCTGACTATTTCACACATCACAGTATTCACCAGAATTTTTTTTACGGTCCTTATTCGGGAAGAGTTCAAAGCGATTTTTAAACAAAAGCGCACACACAATTAAAAAGCACTTAAAACGAAAACTCAAAACAGTAAAAACTCCCCCAAACATGAACTAAACATTGGCCTCAATGTTTTAGAACAAGAGATGAAGAGATGTACTCACAGAGATCCTTACTGAGGAGTCGGAGGGTAAGACAACACCCACTTGCTACATCCTAGCTTGCACGTATAAGGTCTCGTTTATTACCTACACATGAAACAAAATCACAAAAAAGAAAAGAAAATGCTCAATCAATAAAAATGTGGGTTTCCTCCCACACAGCGCTTCGTTTAACATCGTATGACTCAACAGTTCACCCCCCCCCCATTGTTATGGGGGGTATTTCAACTTCCACACTTTGTTGCTTGACCTTTCCCCAACAGAGGACCAGTTAGAATAAGATATAAGAGCAACTTTGTGTATCAAATCACATCCAACTTTTCTATTCTTGACTCCTCGAATGAATTTTGGAGTCTCGCTATGTGCCCTAGATGACTGAGATATTGCAACCTGATAGATTACACCAGAGACTTTTTCAAGAAGTGGTTTTGAATTTTTGCCTTTTTCCACAGTTTTGATCATTTCCATTGAAGGTTGATTATTTTCCTCTTTACCTCGCTTCTTGATGTCCACCACTTTTAAAGTTATTTCCTCATCAAAGGATTTAAAGGTTAGAATACCTATTTCAATATCAACATTGCACCAACTAGTAAGAAAGAATGGTCGGCCAAGTATGATGGGAGTCTCTTCATCTTCTGGGATATCTATAATCTCAAAATCAACTATCAAGGTAAAGTTATTAAACTCACCAGTACATCCTCTGCTAGCCCATATGACCTCTTCGTCATGTGGTCGACAAACTTCAAGTTTGTTCCCGTATCACTCACTTTTCCAATACTAAGCTTTTTGAAAATAGATAAAGGCATGAGAATCACACTAGCACCTGAATCAATAAGGACCTTCTTGAAAGTTCTATCTTTTATAGTACAAGAGATTGCTACAGGTCCAGGGTCTTTTCACTTGATGGGGATTTTCCTCCTTCCTTGTGATATTTCACTACACTGCTCAGCTGAAATTTTCTTCTTCTCATCCATTGTTCTCTTTTTCCCTATTACCTCTTTCATGAATTTCTTGTACAAAGATATTTGCTCAAGTGCTTCAAAGAATGGCATGTTGATCTCTAACTTTTTGAACATTGTACTGAATTTTTCAAAGTCTTTCTCCTTTTAATCCTTCTTTGTAACTCTCAGAGGGTAAGGTAGCTTGATTTTTGGTTTAACCTCCTCTTTCTTTTTCTCTTCAGTTGGCTTCACAGGTGGTAAGGTTCTTTCCGGTTCTTTCCCGTTTTCTCTCACTTCAAGCTCAACCTCTATACACTGGTAATCATTTGTTTCTCTTTCTTCCTCTTCTTCCACGAATCTCTAACTTCTTGTTGTGACAACATATTCTCATGATTTTTTAGATTCAGTACTGTCGCGCTCGGGAGGGTTCCTTGAGTCTGCGTGGAGATTTGTTGGGCTATTTGTCCCATCTGAACCTCGAGATTTTTATAGAAGTTGTGGTGCTCCTCTGATTATTTCATGTCTCTTCTTGGAATTGAATATTGTGAACCACCATCTTTTCAATAGCTATCTCCCATTCTGCTTTCTGAGGAGCCTGTTGCTGCTGTTGATATTGAGGTTGATTCTGATCTTTCCAGGAGAAGTTAGAATGATTCTTTCACCCTGGATTGTAAGTCTGAGAATATGGAACATTCTGCTTCAGAAACTTTATCTCTTCAATTTGTTTAGCAGTCGCAACATAATGTGCAGTAACATGGGGTCCACTACGAATCTCACAGCTTACAACTTAGACAGGTTGAACTTGAGCCACAGTTTGAGTACTTACATTAATTGCTTTAAGCCTTCTTTCTACTTTAGCTTTGATTTGATCTTCCATTTTCATAACTTGATTAGCCATATTCAAGTCAATTGTTCCTTCCGATTTACTCACACTATAGTCATACAGTTCAAAATGCTCATTTGCAACAATGGCTTCAATGATCTTCTTAATACCAGTGGCTGTTGTAAAGTTTAATGAGCCACCGACTGCCGTATCGATTAGTTTCTTAGTCTTCATCTTGAGACCATTCACAAACATCTGCATCTGTTCATTTTGATCCATGTTATGAGTAGGACATACAACCAATAACCGTTTCAACCTTTTATACGCATCGCCCAGTGATTCTTCCTCCTTCTATTTAAAATTTATAATATCATATCTTTTATGAATATACACAGAGGCAAGAAAATACTCATTAATAAAGGCATTCTCCATCTCTTCCCACGTGGTAATACTTCCGGCGGGTAACGAGTAAAACCACTCTTTAGCATCTCCAATGTAGTAATAAGAGGAAATTTCCCCGAATATCGATCTCGAGGACTGCGTAGGAAATACAAGCTCTATAATAAATCAGTTGAACAAAAGTACTTGGGGTTTTGAAATTGTTTGGTTTAATTATAAAAATAATTGCAAATAAAAGAGGGAAATTGACTAAATGGTTTCACAAATATGACTAACATGCTAGGGGAAGTGTGTGATCCGAGTCAGTAACAACTCTGAATAACACTGCAACAACTTATTGTAACTAACTAATTACTGATTCTTTAGAATGTTTACTCCTAAGTCCTTAGTGAGAAAATCTTTAATCAGCCACCCTAATTCCTATGTCCATATAGAATTTCTGATGAAATTAAGTAATCAATTATCAAGAATGTTCCAGTTCTTATAGGGTATCCCTAGTCCTAGATGATATCTACTACAAAATGATCCAAAGCAAAGCATTAACAACGGTGGTCCAGCCTAATCGTTAGTCGAAAATCAAACCCTGTTTGTCCAACAGGGCAAACATTAAGAACGGCTAGAGATCAAATCAGTTATGAAAAATAAAGGAATTGTTATTGTAATACTAATATCAGAGTCATTACATATTCAAATCAGGGACACCCCCTAGCATTGAGGGGTTTATCTACTCATAATATTCGAAGAAAATACAAAGTAAAAACTAGACATTACAAGATAATAGGATTCTTTGATCTTCAATTGCTTCCGCTCATGAAAACCTTCAGTTCTCCAATCACCTTTATCTCTCCAATCTTGACCGTGTAATTCTTCTCTGTCCCAAAATAAGTTCCTTTTTCCTTCTCAAGATACGTCTTAAATACTCTCAGGTCCAACGCAGCAATAGGAAAATACCCAAAACACCCTTAGGATTCACAAAGGTCACAAAATCAAGAAAATTGGAAGCTGATACGACCAAGCCAACACAGGTCGTGTCAGGTGACACAGGCGACCGTGTTGCCTCCCTGGCTCTCTAATTCAAATGAGCCATGCCCCAGACTTGCTGACACAGGCACCTATGTCAGCCCATTGTCTACCACTCAACTTTCTTTCTCTTGATATCCTCCTAACACGGGTGGCCGTGTCAGGCCACTGTTTCCCTTCCAAAAACTATTCCAACTTCCTGCTGTTTTTCCTGGTTTTTGCTCTGGTTCTTTTTGATTGCTTACCTGAACCTAATAACAATGGAAATACCAAACCAACACATAAAATGCGATAAAAGGAAATAAAATGGAACTAAACATATAAGACGATTAACTAAAACTAATGGTAAAATAACGTATAAAAACCACTCATCAATAGACCATATGTAATATGTAGAAGAAGTTAGACATGAATAACATCACAATGTATGTATGCATGAAGACATATGCATGGCTATGAAGGGTGTGTGCCATCAACATCATGTAAACTCTATATATATACCTGATGCACATTGTAAAGATTAATCAGTCATTCAAGCAAACCTGAATATCATTCACTCAAATATATTATGATATTATTTGATCCTTCATAGCACCCACTTCGCACCAACCCTCGCCCGCCATGACCTACTACCTCTGTTTTTTTTATAAGTGGCTTTGGGAAAAAAATTGTACCACAATATAAGTCGTTTTATAATACCAATGAATCATTAATGTTATTTTTCCTATTATACCCTTAAATATTTATTATTCTTTTTCCTTTCAATTATGTTTTTTTTTTTGGAATAAGAGAAAACTATTATTACCAAAAATAATTCAAAACACGTCAATCAGAACGATCCAGGCACAAAGAGACTACAATACTAGGAGAGAAAGGTACAAGGCCGTATTGCAATACTCTAACAATTTCTCATTTTTCTCAGCTCTTAACACAATTTCTCTGATTTTTTTCACTATTTAAAGCATCCTTATTACTATTTTAGAACACACATTTGTTTCTAATACTCCAAATGTGATATATTGTTTCAGCCAAAATACTCTTGATCAACTTCGCTTTTGTACCTTTTCCACGAGTTGCATGAATGAGCCACTGCAATTCCATATTCCAAGCACCCAGATCACGTTGAATTTGAAAACTCTGCAGGACTTGCTTCCACACCTATTTAGTTTTCACACACTTAAAGAGAGATGGTGGCAGCTTTCAAGCACATTGCAGAATGTACAAAGGCCATCTGTAGATATTCCATGCTTTATCACCTTATCTTTGGTCATCAGGCAGTTCTGACATGCCATCCATAGAATGAAAACAGCCCTAGGTCTAGCAATTTTTCCATAGAGCATGGCCCCCTAGTCGACCTTAGGTTTGTCACCTCTCAAGTAATTATACATGATACTTGTCTTGTACCTCCCAACTATCTGAACTTCTGCCAAACTTCAGAGTTAGTCATCATGTTCATACTCTTGAAAATAGCCTTTATAATCCAAGAAAAATTCTGGCCAGGGTTGAAATCCTTTACATCAACCTGTTTCATATAGTAGGTATGAAGCCATCTACTCCACAAAATAGCCTTCTTGCTCCAAATGTTCCACAACATTTTACCAATTGTTGCTTTGTTCCAATCAACCAAAGATACCATGTTTCTCTCACTTGCGGATACAGGATCACACACATGATCCCAAGAAATTAGTGCTTTCCTACTTCTCTCATCAGCTCCAGTCCATAGAAACCTTCTACAAAGCCCTTCAACACGTGCTACAACTTTTTTTAGCAATGGAAATATTTGCATCCAGTAGTTAGATATAAAGAATATAACACTTCTAACTAGTTGGAGTCTGCCAGCATAAGATAACATTTTGGTACTCCAATGATTAATTCTCTACAGCATCCTTTCAATCAGAGGTTGACAATCATGAACAATCAGTTTTTCTCTATTCAAAGGCACACCAAGATATCCGAATGGCATCACACATACTGCCAGACTAGTTTCTTGATGTAAATGTCTTCTAGTGTCCTCATCCACCCCCCACACCAAGAAATTTTGTCTGTGAAAGTGACTTGACTTCCAAGCTATTTTTACCCCTCAAGGAGATTTCAAATGAATTTCTGGTCAACATAATAATTGTTCCTAATTGTCTTAGCTTTCTAGAATGGTATGGTATGCCTTTATATGATTTGTGGAACTCTACTTATGGTCTTGGTAAGCAAAGGGTATTTTGGTCATCTGAGAATTACAGGTCATTTTAACCTATGCCCAAAACTCATACAAGGGAGCTTCAAATGGAAAACTTTACAACATCAAACTTGTTCCAAATGACATTTTGAGTCTAGAAAAGTGACCATGAGAGATTGTAAAGATTCATAGCACAAGGTTTCAAAATTGTTGGATTTAATGAATAAAAATGGACTTAAAAATGAGATTTTTCATATTTTGGCCAAATGAAGCAAAATTATAGGTCATTTTGAATGGAAAGATCATTTTAAAGACATTGGCTAAAGTAGAATTTTGAGCTTAGTTCACATTTTGGGAGTTATCCATGGTTACTTGTAATGGAAGATACATAAACCAAATTCAAGGGAAAGAATGCAAGGGAAACTTCTCCAAGTTTCTAGGAGGTTCTAAGGACACCTATATATTGATATGAGATGGTTCATGCCATGGTTGGTGATTACATTTTCTCAAAATCACAAGTTTCATTCACTTTCTCCATTTTGCAAAAGTATCTCAAACCCTCTCAAATCTCCCTCAATTCTCACACTTCTTGATCTGATCTTCATCACCATCATCCATAGATTACAATTCTCATAAGAATTTGGTTGAATTGAGCAAGGATAGTGCTATACATGTTTCATCATTCAAGGTGCAAGAAATTGGAATCACATGATACAAGAAGTTTGAGCCAAGATCTTTGCATACAGAATCAAAGTGGTAGTGTGTGGATCAGTTTCAAGTCCCTGCAAGCATTGATTCAAGGGTTTCCATAGCTGTATCTCCATTTTAAACCAGGTTGGTATCTCTGCTCGATTTGCATAGTTTAGTCAGCATGATAGGGTTTTGTTAGCTTAGACTGGTTAAGTTAGGTTAGATGATTGGAGAGGTTTAATGGAGTTTGATCATGGTGCACCAGTTCTGTTAAGGTTCATAACGCATGGAATATAGCAAGGTAATCCTCTTTATATGGCTTGAAATGATCAGGGTGAGGTATAGATTAGGTTAGGGTAAGATTTGAAGAGAATTGAGATGGTTGATGACAGGTGAAAATGGTGGATCCTATCTGTTACCCCTATCGGGTTTATTGCTTGAGTGAATTTTAGAGTGAGATATTGATAGGGTTGTGTAGAGGGAAGAAAATGGACCAAGTTTGCTCTTCAGAGCATGTGATTTCATGGACAATTGATGGAGAACAAAGGAGTGTAAAGTGTGTGCATGGCGAGGAAGTTTCAGAAACCCTAGGGTTTCTAAGGTTGAAGACAACCTTCTGACCACACGATTAGCCATTTGACTTTGACTCAATCCACAATCCAACGGACACGATTAAAAATGAGAAACGGAGGGAAGTTCAACTGTGAAACGCACCGTTTCACTTAACTTCATCAGCATGGGCCTTGGATCAGAATGCTATCCCCACCCCCAAACCAAAGCCCATTGGAATTTGAACTGGAAATTCTCGCTATTTGCACCGTGCCCGTTTCATTTTTCTTTTATTTTTTAATTCAATTTTCTGAAACTAACTGGGCCTTGCATAATTTCTATCCGCACCCCATCTTCTGGCCCACATAGATCAAACAACTGCGCGCATTGGCTATTCTTACCCCCTCCCTCTATTTCTCTTTATTTCATTTTTATTTCTTTTCATTTTTCATGCATTTTCTAAAAAATCATAATAAATCATAAAAACCTTATTTTTCAATGATTCTTTTTGCATTAATTTCTTCAAAGAGTCTAGAAAATTATAAAAAATAAAAATTGCATTTTATTTTTCATTTGATATTTTTCCCATATTTTCCAAATAAATGCACATTTTAAGTGTCTCATTTCATACATGATTTTGATAAATTTTGTTCTAATAGTTGCTTTGATATTTTTTGTCCATTCTTTTTAAATTGATTGGTAGACATTGTTATCTTGTACATGCAATTTAGTTCATATTTTTAGGACTTAATTTTAGGTGATTAGTTTAGGTTGGAACAACATGAACAAAATTAGGGTTTTAAATCAACTTAGGTGAGATAGTTTAATTCTTTTAGGAAATTTTCATTTGATTTTTGGGGTATGGAATATAGGGGTTATGGGTATAGGATAGATCCCCTTAGAAATCACTAGGATTCCCCTACTGCTATTGGTATAATACTTTATTTGATTGATTGGTGTGGTGTACCCTCTGGGGATTATTGTTTGTCTGTGTGGGTATTGGGATTGCTTGGGGATTGGGGAAGCTGAAGACTTGTGATGATGAAGCCATTAGAGATCCAGAGACTGAAGGCCAACTTTCAGAGTGGATGAGGAGATTCCTGCTAGCAGCTGTTGAGGAGATTAGGGTTTAGGAGCTAGGCAGAGCTCTAGATTAGAAAGTTTGTTTCTCAAACATGGAATGCTTTGTCTGCATCCATCCTTTCCCTATGATTCAAAGTCTCTTTCAAATATCCACCTCCTTCCTTTGGAAGGATCAGTGACTGTATTTGAAAGATAGAACTTTTGAGGGGAAATTATCTGTATAATGTTAACAGTTAATGAACCACCCTTGGTAGGTAATTGACTGTATAACCTTCATTCACTTCATCTTGTTGACTGATGCTTCTCCTGAAGATTGGGACTTGAAGAAGAGCCATTGCTGATGGAAGACTGATAATGAAGACCTTTCCTGAAGGCTGTGGAGATGGAGATTTGATGCTTGCTGAAGCTTGTAGCTGATTGGAGATGACTTGAAGATAGGTGTTGATGCAGAGCTGCTGTGGCTGTTTGTTTTTGTTGTATTTCACTTCTGATGTATTGATTGGTTTTCCTGACTGTATTGTTTGCTGTTTACCCTGTTGGGTTGAAAGTGAAGTCTGTTCACTTTTGCCTATTGTTTTCTAGGTTCGAGGTTGAGTGGGACTCCCTTGCCTCGCTTGTATTGTTGCATCCATGCATTTTACTGTTTTACTGTATATATCTGATATTATTTCTGTTTCCGTCTATTCCCTTAGGATCTCTGTTTCTCTCTGTGCAAGAGAGGAGCATGATAGACACTAGGTCTTAACCCATGCATGATAACATTAGGTTAGTTTGTTTCCCTTCGCAACCATAGATTAGAGTTCTGTCTCTTCTTCCTCAAAACAAACAGAAAAACACCATAAAGATTTCAAACACAATAAAAGACACTTCTTTCGTAAAAGAACGTGAACTCATCAAGACGTCATTTTTGTCCGCCGGGACTGTTAATCAGAAAAAACCCTTTTCAGAAGGAATAAAATCAACCAAGACAGACTTGTATCGTACGTGGCCCGAACTACGTTTGCTCTGATCTTTCATGCTGTATGAAAGTACGTAGGCATAGAATGCGATATCCTAGCGAGCAACCTTCCTCTCCTTTCCCGTAGGTAGGTGAACTACGTTGACTCTGATTTCTCGTTCCAGGCGGGAATACGTAGGCATAAAGTGCGATACTTTGCCGAGTCATTTTATTTTCATTTTATTTTCTTTTTAACCCTTAACCCTTAGTTTAGATAGAATAACAATCCGTACCAGAAAACAAGCGTGGATCCCGTCGAGTACGACGGACGTGAGGGGTGCTAATACCTTCCCCTTGCGTAACCGACTCCCGAATCCAGGATTTGGTTGCGATGACCATTCCTTTCCCGTCTTTGCGGTAGGTTTACTCTGAGCGTTTCCTTTCCCTCCGTTGGGATAAATAACGCACGGTGGCGACTCTTCTGTTCAGCCGGCGCCGATTTTCGCAATAGCGACAGCTGGCGACTCTGTTGGGGACCCAACGTCCCCTGGCTGCTAAGGACTGCGATAGTTCTTACGCATTTGGGATCCAACGTCCCTTAAGAGAGTCAATCCTAACGCTTGTTTTCCCGTCGAGGATTTTGTATGGATTTATATATTTCTGACCTTTATTTTCAGCATTATATATTGATTATTACTGCTGTATTGGGGTGTGATGGGTGGTTCTATGATTGAGAGATAAGTCGGACCTGGGCTTGAGTGCACCTAGAATTAGAGTAGAAAGTAGTGGGCGCGTGCCGGCTTTGCTTGCATTAGTGTCTCATGAAATCTACACTCGGACGAGGTTCTTCTGGTTGGCTTCTTTTTCTACCCTTTGGGTCGAAGGGGTTGTTGGTCAGCTGAATTGTCGACTCCGGGGACCGATCATTTGGAAGTTGGCTAAGTGAGGCCTCTTCAGGATTTGATGATGCCACTCCTTCTGGGAATCGTATCATCAACCCTGAAAGTCTGTGACGCCAACGACCGCATAGGATGCCATACCTTTGTCAGTTACTAGGACATCCACCTGTGAGAGGGTTTGGGGTTATGCAGGTAACTAGACCTTCAGATACCGGTTTATTTCTTGATCTGAGATCCTGGGTATTTATGGAAAGTTCTGAGGTCTGTCAGAGACCAGTTGGAGAGTTCTGAGGTCTGGCAGAGACCAGTTGGAGAGTTATGAGGTCTGTCAGAGACCTGTTGGAGAGTTCCGAGGTGTGTCAGAGACCTATTGGAGTTATGATTTGGGGTCTATCAGAGACCGGTCCAAGTTATGCTGTGGGTCTGTCAGAGACCGTTGTTGGAGCTTTGTTTTAGGTCTATCTGAGACCAGGGTTGGAGGACTTCTATAGAGTCAATCTGAGACTTCTTGATATGGTTCAGGC